TTGTCGTGTAATGCTTCAAGTAAGTATCTCATCAGAAGTTATGAATTGTTGGCAACATTTGTCAGTAGGAAATGGCAGCTGGCCTTGAATGGGTCTTTCTTTTTAAACAAACTGAAAATGTACAAAATTTAAAGATAAAATCATAATGGGGTCAGATCATTGATTAATATAAATCTGCTCAGTTGCTGACGTAAATGGGAAAGTGCTGATTTAGATCAGCAGAGAATGTGGCTGGTGAAATTAAAAGAAAATAAGGTTTAGGGGGTGAGTGATGCTGGTCTCTTAATATAAGCACAAACTTTCACCCAAGACCACTTCATTGTTAATATGTAACTCTGCAGTGCCAGAGGGGTCAGTCTAATCCAGACACGGCAACACTGTGGTACCTCCTACAAACAAAATAGGAGCAGAGCCAGAGCCATGTATTCTTTAATTAAACCCTGGACCAGGGTCTTCCACTTGGGATGGTTTAGTGCAACTCCATGTACTTCAGAAAGAATTAGAGTGATTTACAGTGGCTGAGCACTTGATCTTTTATTAATGTATGCTTCTGTATATTAAAGTTACGTGCCTCGCTTTTCATAACCATAAATAGTTTAACATTGGTCAGACAGAATTAATTCTAAACTGTGTGAAGGAGTTATTTGAAGACTGTAGCGAAAAAAAGAACAGGACAATCAGGTTAATTGGAAGAAGGTGTACAGTATACAGGTGGGTTGCTTGTGCTGAATTTTTGCACTGTTGTACTCAGAGTGCTTAATATACTATGCTGTAGCCAGAACATATTTTGGGCATCTGTAAGAGTTATCTCTTGTGCATTGTGGAATACTGTATTTTGCTATGTTGTGGTTGCCTGCATGCCTGCATGCATGCCAGCTTCAAAATTAAAGGTGTTGTACACACCTCATTTGCATCACCCCTGGTTCAGGTGCTTCCCTCAGCCTGTTAAGTTTTGTTGTTTTTTAATTTCTTATAAAATATGTGTTTATTTTCTCCTTTCCTCTCTCTCATTTGCAGCACCAGAGTGTCCCTGTACCCTGCATGAACATAAAGAGTTTATTTTTCTTTTTGGCCCCTAAAGCACATCAGGTGTAAATGGCAAGCTGTCCCAAAGACATTAGTTGTCTCTCCTGTTCCAAACAATAGCCTAAGCCTCTGCTTAATTGCGTGTGGATACTGAGAAAAGATGTAGTATGCTTGCCCCTGCTGTTCATGTCAGGTGTGGCAAAAGACTTTTCCCAGTTTTGTCTCCAAGGTCCAGCATCTGCTTAATTTAGTCTGGACTACTCTGTTCCAAGCGCCCAGAAACAGATCTTGTCAATGCACTATGTTAAATGCTTCATAGAATCATAGATGGTTTTGTTTGAAAGGCACCTTAAAGCTCGTCTAGTTCCACCTCCCCTGCCATGGGCAGGGACACCTTCCACTCGAGCAGGTTGCTCAAAGTCCCATCCAACCTGGCCTGGAACACTTCCACTGGTGGGGCAGCCACAGGTTCTCTGGGCAACCTATTCCAGTGCCTCATCCCCCTCACAGTCAAAACTTTCTTCCTCATATCTAATCTAAACCTTCCCTCTTTCATTTTGAAGGAATTCCCCCTTGTCCTTTCACTACACACTCTTGTAAATAGTCTCTCTCCATCTTTCTTGTAGGCTCCTTTTGGTCTCCCGGAAGCCTTCTCTTTTCCAGGCTGAACAATCCCAAATTCTCATAGTCATAATAGTGTTTCCTTGCACTGATTTTTGTGGTGTGACTTTATGAAATGTAATATTGCAATAACATTCTCTTAATCTTTTAATATGGAAGGTACATTGATTTAAACATGTTTAGAAAAACAGTGAAAATTTATATTTTGTTCTGGTTTAGGCCATGTTTAAGTAGAAAAGACAAACATTTAGTCTCTGCTCAAGCTGATCCCATCTTACAGTTCCCTGCAGTTTGCTTGTTTAAGAACAAGCCTCACTTGTTGGGCCACAGAAGGCTGACAGAAATATTTACAGAAATATTAGTGACTCTTTGAGAGAGTAACCCAAAAGACAAACTTGCAAGCTGATGCCACAGGATCTATTATTGGCAGAAATACAATCCTTTGAATAATAAATTAGCTCTTAACATCTGTTGGGTTGTTTGTTTTCTCAGGGGCCTGGTGGTTATGCTACACACAATAACATGATGGCCTTCTGAGAAACCTAAACCAAACTTAATGGTTTCATCAGCTTGCAGGAACAGCTAAGTAATCAGGCACACATGGGACTATCCTAAAGGCCTCTGATGCTTAGCAAATGCTTTCTAGCTAGTTCCAGTAAAGTGTGGAGTGCTGAAACCTGAGTATTGCAGACTACATCAGAGAACTTGGTTTGATGGACTGTTTGGAGAGGCTGTGAGAGAGCTTGAGCAGAGGTATCAACAGCGTAAGTGAGCATCAGGAATGGATGTGGAATCAACTTTTAGAAAAAGTGATATGTAACTTAACTATTTATATACTGAATTCTTTGAAAGGGATTATCCTGGCACCCTACCAGCTACACAGAGAGGGCATCCAAAGTTAAGTAACTCCTGTTTTGGATGCAACCTGTATTTGGAGCCTGCATTAGGACCTGATGTTATGGAAGTAAATCAGTATTGCCTCAGCCTTCAGTAGCATACCCTTTAGAAAGATACCTTATTTTTTCTGTATTCTGAAGCTCTCTAAGGTTACTTACACGGAGCAAATAACCCTTAATGGCTGACAGCAGCAACAGAATGTTTTCAGATGTTTCAGTTTAGGGTGTATTTTCGTCAGTAAATTTTAATTTCAAATTTTTGTGACATAAATGACCAGTTGTGCTGTGACAAGTGTGCTTTAAATGTTTCTGCAAGAATGGCTGAGCTCCTAAATTATGTGGCAGTCACAGAAAATGTCTTTGCCTCCCCTAATGATCTGTATAATAACAATCTCTTACTCTCTTTCCAAGCCTGTAGTTTTTGGTGTGAATCTCCCTCTGGATTCAGGGCCCACTGGAACTAACAGAAACACTGTGACTTGCAATTACCTTAGGCATTAATGCATAGCTTATGTACAGTTTAGTATAAAATTTCTCATCGTATGAGGCCAAGACAAACATGTGTCTACAAAATAGATCTTAAGGAGTAATTACGCTGCCTAGTAAATTCCTTGTGTAGAGGGAAGGTCCCTAGCCATTCCAGGAGTCTTCTTTCTAGTCTGGTCTACAAGCACTTCAGGCACAATGCAGCAGTGACATCTTTCTTGCTGTCTCTCCTCTTGTAGAAGTCTCTGGCAAAAATATCCCTTTGCACTGAGTTACAAATCACCATGCCCATCTGCTGCTGATTCCTTCTCTTTAGTTCCTTTGGTGTGCAAAGACTAATTCTGCCTTCCTCCACCCATGAGCAGTGCAGGCTTTCATGTCCTCTAAGTCTGTCAGAAAACAGAAGTGTGAGAGGTCTACACTGCTCATAAGGGCCTTTGAGAAAGATGAGTAGCTGAAGCGAGTTGAATTCAGAATAAATGTGCTGCTTTTCTTAGCAGATATTGAGAACAGATTTTGTTCACCGATTTATATGTTGCTGCATTTTGCACGAAGTGCTTGTACTCCAAGGAACACCAGTATTGCTTTTCTTTTGTTGGTTCCTTTTCTCTGAAGAAAGCTGTCTTGACTCCAGAATTTATGTGCTCATTGCAGAATTTGCTGCATGAAGTTCTTTGGGTTATGTGGGAATTCAGATTTGGTTATTTTAATGATCATTTTTATACAGTTTGGTATAGTAGGTTGAGCACCTCTCTTGTTCTTTTCAATGTATACAAAAGAAAGGTCTGGAGCGCAATCCTGTTGGTTCTAAATGAATTTCTGTGAAAATCCAACTGAAGACTTAAAGTATTGGAGTTCAGACTATTTTCCATAAATTAATTGAGAAGTATTGGTTAAGTAGGCACAGAGTGTGATAAAGCTGCAACACATCATGTTATTAGACTGCTCTACACAGTGACTGGAACATTGCCAGTTCAAATAAACTTTGTACATCTATTTGAAAGCATGTCTCTGTGCATGCTGGCTATCTAATCCTTTTAGCTTTTATGGTATTTTTTTTGGAAATGTAACCAACTTGTTAATGCATGTACTATGGCATTAAAATGTTTGTTTGGGTTTAACACTTTATTTTGATTTGCTAATGTCAAAGTATTAAAGAAATCTTCCTAATGATTTTGGAGTTTGGGTTTATCCTTTTTTTAAACTTTCTGTTGAGTATAGTGATATTAATGTTGAGGCACTTGATTGATCTCAATATAGTGTCTCTTCAAAAGAATACAGGGAATAATGCTGGGAATTAATTAGCCTGTGTATTATTTTGGGAGTTAAATATCTGCAGTTCACCTCCCTTTTGAGTTGTGAAATGAGTAGAGTGTTCAGGAACCTTTATAAACTACTGATGGATTTGGATGTAAAGACCAAGAGTACAAGAGCAAAAGTACTTATTATAATAACAGAGAGATCTAGCGATGGCATTACTTGTTAAAAAGAGAAGATAGTTTTATTGCCTACGCCATGATCATAAGCAGTAAAGACTAGAAAGCAAGAATATCATTGTGGAGTATTTCTTTGGGTCTCTAGGTCAATAGCTGAGAAGTTACCAAAAACGTCCATACGATTATGACCCCTAAGTGGAAACTATATGTTGTGCCGTGGTACACTTGGTGTGCTATGCTGAGATTGTTACTCATCATGTTCCTAAACCTGTAGCAATAATTATGTATGCTCTGTACGTTGTGCCGTGGTACACTTGGTATGCTATGCTGCGATTGTTACTCATCATGTACCTAAATCTGTAGCAATAATTATGTATGCTCTGTAGAAGGTGAAGCTGGAATGGAATAAAATGCATGTTTTAAAGGCAGGAACTTCTTTCTGCAGACATGCAGTCCCACTTGCTGCTGGTGGTTAGGGAAAACTTTCTCTGAATGGGAAAACTGAGTAATTTTTAATTCTTCTTCATTCTTGCAGGTTAAGCCAGTTACTCACAGTAGAATCACTGTGTCAGCACGGTTTCGAAAGCCACTCCAGGAACCCTACACTATTTTGTAAGTAGAATTTTCAGTTAGTTTACTGACATTTCGGGAGGGGGGTGGTAGTGTGTTCACTTTAGATGAGTTTTGTTTAAAATGCTCCTCCAATGTATTTTACTGTGCTTTATTTCAGCCTGATTGCTAATGGAGACCTTATTAGCCCTGCAGTTCGCCTCCTCATTCCCAGGAAAACACTGAATCACTGGGATCATATTCTTGAAATGGTTACAGGAAGAGTTACTCTCAGAAGTGGAGCTGTTCACAGGTATCAGGAAATTGAATAATTGCAAGATACAGTTGATATGCCCAGATATGTTTTTAAAACTTCATAGGTAGATATAATGGATCATTCGTACTTCATGGGAAATTCCACTATAAGAAAACTAAAATACAGCAAAAAGTCACAAAGTGGAAATATGTTGACTCCAAGTAACTTTGAGGTTTCATTTCATCTGCTGTTTAAAAAAAGAACAACCTCTATTTGCTATTTGTTATTTATTAAATAATATTAATTAATTAAATAGTTAGCAGTCCTATAATAATGCAGTAATAATGCAATATATTTATGTGAGAATAAAATACATGAGCATGGTAAAGTTATTGAGGATGTTTGGAATGTGAGATACATGGGATCCATGTTACCTTTTAATTTTGATGGTTCTTTAAATCCTTTGGAGCAAACAATTTCAAGAAAAATATTATAGATTCTTTGGGTTTTGTATACCTGAGCTAGAGCTAGGATGTGCTTTATACTCAGCCCACTCAGCTTCCTAATAAAAGCCAAGGCCAAAATTGTAGTTGGGGATTTGCCAGATCCAATATCTCAGGCTAGAGCTAGGATGTGCTTTATGCTCAGCCCACTCAGCTTCGTAATAAAAGCCAAGGCCAAAATTGTAATTGGGGATTTGCCAGATCCAATATCTCAGCTGGTCTGAGTTGTAGTATTCTAGGAACAGGAGGTGACCCCTTGGATAGGTAAGTTTCGGTCCCTTACAGCTTTTACAATGTAAAATAAGTTCTCTAAAATGGTATTTGGTAGTTGTTACAAGTTTTAGAGTAAAATGATTTATGTGATGTCCATGAGAAATGTTGCAGTGTAAGTGAGCTGCAAGTAAGGTGTGTACAAGCAAATTACTGACATTCCAGTGTTGCCCCCTGCAGAGCACATTAGAGAAATCTGTTCCTCACATGGGAAAGGGCCTTTTGTGGAAAATCATTCTTCGCAGCTTATGCAATGTCTGAGGCTAAGCTTGCAAAATCTTTCTCAAATCAGTGAAGATAAGATAGTCTTTCAGTTCTTCTGGTTCCACTCCCAGAGCTGATACAGATGAGAAAAGATTAAGGTAATGCAGTCTGTTGACTGTTAGCACTCATCTAGTTTTTCCTCTCAGCCCTGGATTTCTGTGCTCCTGTTTGCTGGCTACTGAGCACTTTTACCGGCAATAAAATAAACCTACTCATGTTGCAACTTTCTGGATCTGATTTTCAGCTAGTGTAACTCAGAAGTGAGCAAAGCAACAAGAGCCATATACAACATATCAATTCTTTCTGCTCTCATGTTGTTTAGCAATTTAAAAATCTTTCACATTTTATTCTCATTACTTTGGTGAAATGATGTACATGATGAAAGCATTCAATATATAACTAGGATTCCTTTTGAGAGGTTCCCTCCAGTGCTCAGTTTTAATCCTTTAAAATTAATATAATATGCATGACATTTTGAATTATTTGATGTTTTCCCTTTGCTGGTTTTCTGTTAACTCAGTTTTAATTTTCTTTTCCTTAAAATGCAAGAAATACATATTAAATACATTAGTAAACTGATTGTTGTTCTCTAATAAGTTACACATTAATTGCTGGGGTTTACTGAAACTATGTTAGCATTAGGGGAGATCTGGTAAGACCACTGATGCTGGGACGATATAATTTCTCATTAAAGAAGGATAAATGGACACATGAGAACCTGCATTGTGTATATGACAATTTTTCTTTTCCATCTTATTAAAGACTTACAAAGCTGCCAAGTCTTATGCAGTTTCACTTGTGGCTTTTTAAAAAAGAAATTATTGATCACCCTCATCAGAATAGGGATATAAGTAAGAAATATGAGAGAGGAGACAATGAGAAAACAGCTTTTCGGCTTGCCAGATTGTGCATGGGGATGGGGTACAGCAGCCTGCTGGGCAGGTACCTGGTGCATCAGCAACTGGAAATTTGGGGATATTGGTCCCACAAGTTGTGTCTTTACTGTCTCCTTTGTGAGCCTGTATGCTGGCTTTGTTTTAGTTGCCACTTTTTGGCTTGGATTCAGGAGGGAAAATGGAAGTTCACTGACATCCCACAGGACAAAGTCTAGGTCATCCCCAGTAGAAGTGACCACAAGGACATCTTTGTTACATAATACTCGCCAGAGAGAATCCAGCTGGTCTGTGAAGCAGTCAGGAGGGTGGCTAGAAGGCTGCAGAAGTTAGTGTCACAAAAACTGGTGTGATGCTCAGTAAGTCAATAGTTATCTGTTTGTTTGAAAATCCGTTTTTAAAAATACATTTTTTATTTCGCTTTCATCTTCAGGGCCTGATTATCTTTGGTTTCATAACTGTGATTATTATTTTCAGGGTGAAAAATACAGTTTTGCCAGCTAATCTCTAACTTTTTTGTGAGTTATACTAAGCAAACACCTTTTTTTTGTATTAAATATAACATTAAAACACAAGCGAAGTGAAAGATCAGAAATAAAAGCCCATAGTCATGTTTGTGTGTACCCCTATATACCTGCAGTGCCATACAAATCTATAAACAATTCTTGAACTGTGATACACTGATTTGCTGTCTTTTTCCCCTGAGCTCCCCAAAGCAAAATGTAATCTAGCAGAACACAGTGAGATTAATTCAGAAATAGGCTTCTTGCTGATTTTCAGATTGCTTGTTTTATTTTCATTGTTTGTGTGTAACTGATGTTGACTGTGTGGTAGTGAAACATAAATTGCTCTTTGAATTGCTGGTATGCCTGTGAAATGTTTGCACTAAAACTTAAATATGAGTAGTACATGTGAGGTGCTTCAGAGTTAGCAAACCTCTTTGCAAGGAAGCAGCAATGTGATCAAGATTTATAAAGGCTGCAATTTCACCTTTCAAAACTTTCAGTCTTTGCACTGAGGAACCCAAGGTGCTTCCATATGGCGGGAGGCATATAGAAAATTAAGGTACTTTCATGAAAGTGGTATAGGAAAGACATGGACACACTGGAGCAAGTGCAGCAAAGGGCCACAAAGATGAAGAGCTCGAATACACTCATAATGGGAGAAGAGCTGGGACTCTGCAACCTGAGGAAGAAAAGGCTCAGGGGGATCTTGTTTATGTGTGGGAATGAGTGAAGAAGTTGGAGCCAGGCTCCTCTCAGTGGTGCTCAGTGACAGGACAAGAGGCGATGGGCACAAACTGAAATACAGGACATTCTACTTGAGCAGAAAAAAATAAATTACTGTAAGTACTGGAACATGTTGTCCAGAGAGGCTGTGGAATCTCCATCCTTGCAGGTATTCAACACACACATAGACACAGTTCTGAGCAACCTGGGGTGGTTGAACTAGGTGGTCTCCAGAAATTTGTTCAACTTCAGCTATTCTGTGATTCCTGGTTCTGTAAAAGTGCATGAGTTTTTTTCTGTGTTTATTCAAGTTTATGCCACTGTATGTATGAACATAAACAACTTTTTCTCTATTAAACTGAAAATTTTTTTACTTTGTAAGCCAGGGCTGTACTCAAGTTACATATTCTTCCCAAAATATTAATTGTATAGGTGTATATATCATTTTACATCTCCTTGCATTGCGTTGAAATTTGTGACTAACATATATAGCAACTCCTGTAGAAGGCTTCTAGAAAGGCAGTTAAGATAGCCATTCATCATTCCTGCATTTAAGGCTTAAATGAAAGCAATTATTGTTGACTTTTATGTTAAATATATATATATATATATATA